CGTCCCGGCAGGAACAGCCAAACATCTCAGACGGATCCCAGGATATGAAGATTTTGATGAGCGAACGGAAGCTCTCAAATGCTTGAAGCCTGGCACTGGCTGTAGAGACGCTCCCAGAGCATTCAACTTGAGGCTAATCAACATCCTCAAGGAATTAGGGTTCCGAGCATCTTTGTATGACCCCCAATTGTTAATGTTACATAAGAAAGGAACCCTAGTCTTAGCCATAACCGTCCATGTAGATGACATTAAAATGGCAGGTATGAAATCAGAAATAGACTCTTTGGTTAAAACTCTGGAAGGGCACTTTGGGAAATTGACGTATCAAGAAAGTGAATTTACAAACTGTGGTATTTGTCATAAAAGACTCCCAGATGGAACCATCACTCTTGATCAGACAGAATATCTTAGTGCATTAAAACCTATAAACCCAAAACACTATGCCAATCTCCAGAAGGACGCACAATGCCCCGAGCACCTCAGAGCGCTGTATTGGAGCTTGTTAGGAGCCGTTGCCTATTCCGCCCTAACACAGGCGTGGGTCTTAGTCTATATAATTTCTCTCCAACGTGTAACTCAGAACCCCACTGTTACACATGTCAAGAGACTGAATGCATTCACCCGAGAGCTTCAACGTCGTCCCCAGAAATTAGAGTATAGCTCAATGACTTGTAACAGGGTTGTTGAGCTATACTCTGATTCAGCATTCTCCAGAGAAAACGATAAGGGATACGCTTTGAGGGGTGCAGTATATCTTCGAATGGGTATTGATGTGAGAGGTGTAAGGAGATGCCATTTGATTGAAGCCGTTTCTCAATCTCATAAGCTCGTGGTGCGCAGCACATTCGCCGCTGAGCTGTTGGCACTCACAGCATCCGTTGATCAAAGTTTTATAATTATAACCACCCTTCATGAAATGTGTTTCGGACCCCTTAGTCCCCAATCCAGTATAAATCTAAGAGAAAATGGAGGTTACCTCATCGAACTTTATGTCTGGATAGACGCCAGGTCCGTTTTTAGTGCGGTGGAAAATGAAAACTTCAAGTACCCAACGGAAAAGTCACTACTCTCTCATATCTCATGGATCAAACAGTTGACCATTTCGAGGATCATCACGCTCTTAGGATGGGTCGACACACGCGACATGATAGCCGATGGAATGACCAAAGGTTCCATCGATCGGTCGCAGTTAATTAATGCTATGAAGGGGTTTGTACGAAGACTACACCCCGCTGAATTCATGAAGACCAGAGGGACACGTCCTCTGGCAAACACAGATACCGAAGTTTGAGCTCGAGCCAGTTACAGCATCTCACCAACTTACAGGAGAACACCCGACTTGAAAGGTACATGATCTATCTTACCTCAGGCTCATTGTTGTCCATGTAACTGTTCTGGCTCTAGAGCTCGACCTAGGTAAACGCAAGACCTCGTCACAAGCAGTCAGAGGAAAACAGACATTTGCGGAAACAGTACTTCTTTGTCACGTTAGTTCCTCTCTTTTTCGAGTAAATATTCCATAGATGATCCCATTGGGAAGGTGAAGAGAGACGACAAGCTTGAAATTTGTCAAGTTGTCAGGGGACATGTTTTTCAGCTGTTTGTCCATCTGTGCTGAGGAGCTTGACTGGCTCTGGGCTGTGCAACTGACCTGTTCAGTGCCTTTAGACCAGTGATAATTGTTTTCTGAGGTTTCATGATTTTCATGTGATGTATCCATGCAACTTCGGTTGTTCATGCAGTCACATATTGATACATATTGCACATGTAGTAAGAATTCTCTACAAGTTCTTTTTGCATGCCACAAGAGCGCTTTCCCCCGAGTGAAGACATGTCATTTGAATGACTTATATAAAGTCTTATGCTTTCGCAAGGTTGACAGGCTAAAGTGTTCCGCAGCGCCTGTGATATGTGTAATGGAGCATTTGCAGAGCAAAGTGGGAAGGGGCTGTTTGTTCCTTTTATTTGTTCACGCTTCGTTCACACTACATTCTGCAGCCAGGGATCGAAACTTGATGATCTTGCTCTGGATTGATGGAGTTCTGCCATTCTCTCAGCGGAATTGGCTGCTTTCCAGTGGAAATTCAAGCATTGGCGCAGAGACCTTCGGTTGAATCGGTGGAATCGGTTGAATTTCTGCCACATCTCTGCGTTTTGGAGGTATCATGTGCAGTCTGTCATTGCCTACGTTGTCATGCAAGCGCCTTATGATTTGCATATTTTAGCAAATTTGGTCAAGTCAACCCAAAAGAATCTCGTTTCTTGGAATTCAAAGGTCCTATTTGTCTCCAGTCACGGTGTCTGCGTCATGCTCAACTGGTTGGAGTGCCGTGAGTTTTGACTTCAGCATCAATTGTTGCACTCGCCTTACCACTCTTTGATCATCTTTGATCAGTTGCCATGCTTTGAACAGTGGCCCTGTGCCTATCCCTCAGGTGGTGAACACTCTGAAACGGGCCTTGATCATTTGCATCAGCATCCAGGCGGGCTCTTGAGGTTGAACGTCCGACATTTCTGGTGTGGGATTGGTCCAAATATCAGCAAGACTTTATGATACTTTATGCGCTTGAAGATATGTCGTGACAGCAACTTGCCCACTTTGAGGTCTTTGGCAATCGGGTCAATTTGCTGACGCAGTTGGGCTCATTTCCCAGCTGCTTGTTGCGTCAAATTTGCCCAAATTTGCCCCAGCCTTCAGCGGTCCTCTTGTGACGCTGTGGTAGGGACTCACAATGTCTCACCATGTCTCACTGGTCGTCATTTTTCCATATTTTTCCCATCCACCTATCAGGGCCATTCAAATCATTCAAGACCTATGTATACTTAATTGGTTCAATTTGTTTCAGTTCCTAGTGATTGTTCTCCAAAAGTCATGGGTGATCATGGGTGTTTATGGGTGTTCATGGGTGTTCATGGCGTTCTTCCATTTCTGCGCCAAGGCACGGGAATTTGCCTCGTGGGAGTTTTGTGCTATAACTGGACAAAAGCACAACAGCCCTCACCCCGGCCACTTGCGTCCTGGCCACTGTTGAAACCCTATGCTTTGATCATCAAACATCCTACTGCTTCATTTTGCCGTGATCCGTTTGATGATTTTGCACTGGAAGTCAAGAATTTATGGCTTTAAAGCCTGAGGTCAAAGTAGCTGAAGCTCTGAGTCGGTTTCACGGTTTCATCGATTTGCCAATGCAAAACAATTTGATTTGCGTTTGACTCGTTTGACAACTGGGTCCTTGGCTCTTGGCTTGGCTGGAAATGTTTGGGCATCCAGGTCCGGGTGGGCCCAAAAAGTCCAAAAATGAAGACAAATGTCATCAAAAGTCCAAGTCCAAGTTTTGTTTTGTCTTTGGTTTTCATGTTCGCTTCCTTCTTGCTCGTGCCACTGGCTCCAATTCGGCTTAAACTCCTTTCGTGCTCTGCGTAGACATTCGAATGCCTGCGTTCACCAGCTGACCTTTTGTCGGAATCTCAGTTCGTTCATTCATAGTTGCGGAATATTCCTCAAATCAAATCTCATGCGATATCTTGGGCGGGTTAACTTCTATAAGAAAAATATGTGCCAAAAATGGATTGAAATGAAGCCCTTCAATTTGCAAAGTCTGATGCTCACCAAATGTAGCCTTTTAGACTTGAAAAGCCTAATCCTCCCAAAATGGAGCTTGAAGCCCTTGCTAATACAAGTCGAATGCTCCACCACACAGGCACTCTTCCAAGTGAGAGGTGAGACGACCTTTGCGCGTGGTGACAGGGTACTTTGGCCATACATCACCAATTGCATCAAGGAATCAAACATTATCATGTATCATCAAGATCTATCAAGTACAAGTAGCTAGTAACTTAGCAAGCACAAACCACATCGTATCAGAAATTTCTGAGGCACGTGCCTTGTGCTCCCTTCGGACCACTTAAACCCAAACTTGTTGCTACATCAAGTTCAGTGCCACACCACCTCTCACACAACTCAATGCATAGACCAGCACTATCCTCAAGGAGTTCACTGGTTCGTTTTATCCAACAAGAATCAGCAGCCAACATGGAAGTGTTGTTCACCCAGAGCTTCACAAATTGATATTGGACCATCCACGCCCCAGAGTCAGGCTTGCTGTGCAACTGAAAAAACCCAAAGTTGTGTCTTTGCATTTCTTGCATCATTTTCAGTGAGCCTTGGGCAAATTGGTTGCTTGCCACTAGTTTTCCTGATAGTTAGAATGCCCTCCTTTGTCCGCTTCCATGACATTCATGAGTTGATATTCAACGAAACATCTTGTCAAGCTAGTTCGATATGAGAAAACGATTGATATTTGAGGCCTATGCGTGCTGGAAGGCCTATGCGGGTTGCTACGGAAACCCAAGCAGGATGGTCAATCGGTTTCCACCCCAGCCGGTCTTCGTGAGGAAATAATGTTGCGTGATGTTTGATGTTTAGCTTCAGTTTGCGCATGACGGGAACCATCTAGATGAACAGTTTCCTCTGTGAATTTGGCATGGCTGCGTTCGCGCTCCCTCTGAATTCTGATGTTCAGAAGCTGGAAGCTCCTCGTCTTTGAGCCCAGTGCTACTTTTCCATGGATTGAGCCCATTGCGTTGCAGATGCAAAAAGTTATACAGCGATTTCAGCAAGCGTACCTCTGACGGATTTTGTACATCATGCTTCAATGGAAGCACGACTGTTGTACACTGTCATCGGCAGTGGATTGTCAGATTGCTGCTTGTGTCCTTTTCCGCATGTTTGTATTTGCAAATCGACAAGTCCTTGCGATCGTGCAACCCTTTTTTTCCTGACCGCATTGTTTCGGATAGTAATTCAGTGATACAACGTCTTGATTGGAAAAAATGGTCGGCCCCTCAGCTACTGTGCAACTCCAGTTTTCACATTCTTTGTCTGAAAGCCACCCTTGAATGCATGTCGTTTATTTTTGGTACTATCATGAAACGGATGTCAAACGGTTGGATCGGTCAGATGTTTCTGTTGATATTCCATTTCGCTCGGGACAGATGAGGCCAATGGGCTCTGGACAGTACTGCTGAGCAGCTTCGTCTTGGCCCAATGCCAGGTCAAGGCGCATCAGCCTCGTGCATCTGTAGCAGTGGCGTTGGTGTTTCAATTTGTTGTTTTTCAAGTGTCGGTCACCACTTGTAGGTCATGACGCCAAGCTGGTTGGTCAAAGAGTTTTCGCAGAACCATGGTAGGCTCCAACAGTTTGGGCCAGTTGCACCGGGGTTGGAATACAGAAAGCTGTTGAACTATGTTGAACTGATGCAATTTAATGCAATTTATGTCTTTGCGATTTCAAGGGTGAAAGTTTGCGCTGTGATTTATGGCAACACAATGCCAGGATTATGGGATCAACTGCGACATTTGGCGCTCCGTTTTATGGAGAGCGTGTGTGGGGACGGTTGGCCACGGTCTCAACGTCAAGGTGAACTGACTCCGAAACTTTGACAAAGCGTGACCTGATCTTGTGAGGAAACGGATGGAAACGGTAAACGATCATGTGATCAAGAATGATGTTTGTAACACCTGTTCTCAGAACTCGACGAGAAGTGCAACATACTTTTTTGAAGGCCATGGAGGCCATGGAGGCCAAGGTGGCCAATGCACAGATTTTGTTTCGAGGTCTATGGGCGATCAGCAAGGAACCATCATTGCACCGAGGAGACACACAGAGCGGAGAGCTGGGTGATGAGACAAACATTGCTGCCGCACTCTCTTTCGTTACATGAATTCCAATAATACATATCAATACATACTGTATTCATCTGATTCATCTGTATTCCAACACTGTGTCTTTCACTGGTGAGAATTTCAGTTCCCAATTTTTGATACACCTTTTTGCTGCCAACCAGGAGAGTCAGTGGTCCTAACAGATGGCGAGTTTTCCTGTTCAGGATACAGATATACACCGGATCCGCTCAGGACGACTACGAAATCCCGCCATTGAGTCTCATGAAAGCAGGTGAAAGTGGCTACAACAAGGCCAGAAGCATCCAGAAGTGAAAGTGGCTAATGCATTGCTAATGCATTGCTAATGCATTTCATGTGAAGTCCTTTGGATGAACCAAACATGTGAAGTTTCAGTAAGGATTCAGGGAGATGTGTTTGTGATTCCTTCTGAGATACGGCTCATCAACATTGTGATGGTTCGACGTGGGAATTGCTCTTTCACCCACAAGGCGGAGAACAGAACACAGTTCGTTGTCAAGATGTGTCTGCCATGCAGTTTTGCAAGTGGACAACGCACATCAGCTTCGACAAAGTTTGAATGCAGGTCCGGATAGCTCAAGATACAAAAGATGCACATGCTGTAATCATCATTGACAGAGAGGACTTCCCGGGAATAGAACGCTACCTTGCCAGGCAGTGTTTTGTAAACGTTTACCGTATGTGAAACGTGTCTAAACTTAGAACGGCAACAAACAGATCCTGATTTCTACACCCAACTCGCTCCTGATTTCTTTTGAAACTTTGGGCTCTCTCTGTAGACCCTTGGAGGTGGAACTGTGAAACTCAAGATTTCCTCAATTCAGCTTTCTCACAACATGTTTGTGCGGCGTACGAACCATGCAGAATCTGCAGAATCATGAACTGCAGAGGAAACGACTCTTAGACTCCAGGATTCGGACTTCACTGCAGAGAGCCTGGCCAACATCATTGTGGCTGACGATGGCTATGGAGATGGAATTCACATTCCATCGGTGCCTCAAAGATCTCCAAGACAATTTGCATGATGTGTGAGATTTTGACAACCTTGGGCCTTGGGCCATTAATTTCTACAACAATTAGTTGACTCATTAGTTGACCTGTCGAAATATTCGAAATCTTGGTATCACATCATGTTGCACATGGTGGCTTTTTGCTGGAGCCTTCAAAAGATGCAACAGCGTGGAACAAGCGGCCAAAGTGTGAATGACAATTCTGTAGCCTTTTGTAACGTTCTTGAACATCAGGTATCGAGTCGCATGGATGTTTCTGGTTTCTGTTCTGTATGTTCTGTGAGGTGCTCATTTCCAAAGAAGACGGTAGACGTCTCATAGAAGCTGTGGAGCGACCACAGGCCGCAAGCCTTGCAGTCCTGGATCAGGGCTGCAACATGGCGCCAACTGTGAAGGAAAGCGTGGATAAGAAATGATAAACATGCACCTCCATGATCCTCCATGATCCTCCATGATCCTCCATGATCCTCCATGTGTGGAATGTGTGTGGAATGTGGATATTGAAGGATTGGTTGAAGATCTCGTTGCACAGGGGACCGGCGCTCGAGCTCGACAGGTCCAGGTGGTGGTGGAATTGGCCTGGGATTTGCCCACGGACCAAGTGGTGACGATGGACATGTGGATGAGCTCCGCCAGCATCGAATCCAACAAGTTCCTCAAGGAAATCCGAGATCCGATAGGAATCCAACCAATCTCATTGATCAATTGATCATAACCCATAGGATCCATGGTGCTGGTATATATGCTAACATGACTGGGGTATATTGATGGTAAAATATGGTAAATGTTACCATATATAGCATATACATGGATCCTATGGGTAATTGATCCAATGTTAAAAAACGTCAAACAGATCTCAAAGCGGTGACTTCATCTCCGATGTGAGCCTTGATCTCTGCCAGACATCCGGTGATTTGACGGTGTGGGACCGTGGGGGTCTAGACAGCATAAATCCGGAAAGTACAGAAATGGGAAAAAAGTTGGAAATTCTGCACATTTGTTTCGAAATGTGCAAGGTGCCAAGGACACTATGTCCAAAAGGAGACTTGTCCCCAGGGAGGTGCTGGAATTATCTGGAAATCAGAAATGCCATGCCGTTGAGTTTGGACAGGAGTTTGCTCCAAAGCGACGGGTGCTCAACGAGGTCATGATCTTCAATCCGCATTATGCATCTTGGCCTTGGGCAGTTCGAAGAGGATGAAACAAGTATAAAAAATAAGTATAATTTCTTTAGCTTCTTGATTTTTCCCCATCAGTATGCAGAAGAAGTGCTTGAACACCACGTTTGTTGCTGTCAGACAATCATTCTGAAGCTCTTGAACGGTTTGACTTTCTTTGGAGCTCTAGGGCCCTAGGGTCTAAGCCTCTAAGCTCCTCTAAGCACCTGAAATCACCTGAACTTTGCCAAGGCAGTTTTCAGTATGGAAAAGGGCAACCCTGTGTGGCCCTCAAATGTGCCGAGCAAATCTGTCGCACAATGTGCTTCGCACATTCGCACATTGTGCATCGCCCCCTCGGCTCGCAGGAGGTTTACTCGGGCGTTTGCCTCGGCAATGAGCCCCGATTTTGCGCGGAGGAAAAACACAGGGAACCACACTTTATGCGCTTTATGTGCTTTATGCGCTTTATGTGCTATGCAGCATTATGCAGCTATGCATTCCAGTGAAGTTGTTCACGTCATCAACAAACAACAGTTTTTGATGTGTTTGAAGGGTTGGAGCTGTTTTCAGTGGAACATTTCATGCTAAAACCTGGAGCTTCTGCAACGTTTTGTGGTGTGGTGCGTTTTTTTCGAGTGCCTGGAGAGGATCCAGACGGTGCCGGAAGTGTCACCGGCGAAGAGGCGGGATGACTCGACGGAGAAGTTGATCAAATCGTATTGCAAAACACAGAAACTGCGTATGATATACAACTAACATCAACTAACATGATAAATATACTAGACTAGTATTAATATAACCATTAGTTATAAATAGAAATCTATTGAAACATTGAGAAAATGGAAAAGGACATGGCAACCTGAGCCAGCCTGCATCTGCCTGCCTTGTTCCAGCTCAGGTGCTGATGGAGGACGTGCGACAGCTTTGCATCCACGACCGAACGAAGGCTTGGAGTAAAACTATGGAGAACAACTGCTCGATAGCTGGCTGTAGTTGCTACTTGCTAAAGTTAGCAAGGCAGGGGAGGTTGGGGACTAATAGGACATAATAGGACTAAGCAGGTTAATTTTTTTTGCATGCTTCTTAGAACCGGTTATCGCTTCCTGTTCTAGATGATTGCTGTTGTGGGTACTTATTGTCCGGCTCTATTTGCATGCTGATCCCCATATTTGTTTCAATTTTGGGTCATTCTTCTCATGGTGGTTCCCATGTCATAAAACTTGTGCGTCTAAAGATTCAACTAGGAATCAGCAAGAAATCAACAAGGAATTAACTGCCTGTTCCCTTCGGGAACCAGTCATCCTGGGCCTTGTGCAAAGCACACGGAACAGTTGTGACACGCCTTGTGCCACATGTATGTGGAGAGATGTGGAGAGTTTGGCAGCTCAACTTGAAGATCCAACAAAGCGTTCACCACCAGTATCAGCTTCGGAAAATAAGCACACCAATTCAACGACAAGCAGCAACTTCAACAGCAGTCACAATGTACCCTTCTACTATTCTGGCTATGCCCAACTTTTCACATGTCGTCGTGCTCGTTATGGTGTTTGTCTTTTCAGTCCGGAAGTTACCAATCATCAATTTTTATTGCTCCTAGATTCCCCACTCACCCGTGGGCCCAAAGTATAAGAGAGAAACAATGTGAAGCACATGTGTTTAGCACAGCGTGCTGTGTTTCACCATGTTTCTCTGTTGCAAATGTGCTGCAAGGTGAAACGCTCGAGCTTGGAGGATTTGATGAGTGGAAAACATCTTGTCGAGTCTGAAACTCGGAGAATGCGGCTGATGCGGCTGATGCGGCCGATGTTTGTCAACATGTCGACCATCCATGTCGCCTTGCGTCGCCTTGAATGTCTCCTTGGCAGCTTGATGCGGACGGCTGAGGTACGCTGCCAAATACTGGGACTACATGGAAAAGTTCTTGGACAGGTGCAGGAAATATTTAACAATCGTGAATGGTATGTATAGAATGTCAACGTATAGAAATGGAGATCAAAGAAAGCACCAATATTAGTGTATCAAATTGTATCAATCAGCTGAAAGATCTGAAAGTGGAGTACATCACCAGAAGCCGTCAGGAATCCACAAATGCATGCTTTGCACAGATTTCGACTCAATTGTTCTGCTTCATCTCGATCATCTCGCAGAACAAGGTGAATCCAAGCATCTCTTGTTCTAAACAAAGCATCAGCAACAGCAACACCTAGAATTGAACGCTGCTGCATAACACGGCCCTAGTACATTTGGCTCCAACTTTTCCAGCATAGTGTGCCACTGTGGAGGTGTCCCTTGGATGGAACTGGCAGCGCAAAGTTTGGCATTGAATGTTCAGAGAAGGTGATGCGAGAGGCACCTTTTTCACAGAGTCATCCTGGACCAAAGACCAAAACAAACTGAGCATGAAATTCTTGAAAGGTAGGATAGAATCCACTAATGAATTTAAGGAGTGGCTCCTGAGTTTGCAGCACAGTACACAACAAAAATCATTGCTATGGCTATGTCGTCTTTGCATAGTTTGCCCTCTACCTCGTAGGTTAACATCGACCCAACGGAAATCCAAGAGTGCGTTCTTCGGCGGAGAGAAACGTCCAGCTGCCATGTCTAACCGGAACTCGTCCTGTTTGACTTTTTCTAACGTAGTCAACCTGAATCCAATGACAGTAAATTTATGGAATGAACATGTCAACCTCTGCTAATTTGCCGTCAGTGGCGCCAGGATATTGCAACACGAACTGGACAATCCAGTTTCTTGGCAGGTTCAGCTCATGAGGCCTCTATAGGCCTCTAGCCTAAGGATGTCTAAGGAGTTCACCCCGTTGCTGCTGGTCACACATGCCATGGCCGCAGCTGTACAAAGATCCAACGGGGCAGTCCAAGTGTGTCAAAAAGGGGATCCAAATGGGATCCCATCGATTGTCCTCACAATTTTCATGATATGATTTGTTTAGGATGCCAAAAATGCATTAATGTGATTTCCATAATTTGGATTGGTGGCACTGCCCAATTTTCGATCCAGACCTGTGCCATGGGCTGCACCTGAGCAGCTTGGTAGACATGGAGAGCTGGGAATTTCCCACGGAACTCGACGAGTTCTTGGAGTTTTGCGTGGAGGACAGGCCTTTGCCTTTCCTCACTTTTTCGGCAGGAAATGTCGGAACAGTTTTGCACATGGCAGGAGCACAATGGCGACTTCGACGAAATCTCCAGGCAGCTTGGATCACTTATCTACTCGAAGAGTTTGATCAAGCTCGAAGAGTTTGGTTTTGAGGGAGTTGTGACATGTTGTGACAAGAATCAGTTTCGACCACATTGGCAATCTCAGTGCAGGTGCAGGTCCACCAAAATGATGACTGGGGCCGTTTGTGTTTTCTGCCAAAACACCGTGCATTTAGTGACATCGCTGCAGGGAATTCTTGGAAGTAGCTAGTGGTCTTGATGAACAGTTGGCTGGACGTGCAGAGGAGGCCAGATCCTGCGCGTGTCATTTCCAGAGTTTTGTCAGGTTCAAGCTGCAATATGGATTCCTTTTTGAAAATAGTAGATGCTGCAGGTATCCCATGGATGCCCGACATTTCCCCACATGCATTGAAATCAACATCAACATAACATAAACATTGAAATCATTTGAAATCAACATAAACGGCATGATACTTGCACGTGCATCGCAGAAATGAGTTTCCATGAGAATCTCTTCTTCTGTCAGGTGTGTTTCTTTCAAGGTGTTTAAAAGTCGGTGATTTGGTGTGATGTTTTCCTCCTTTTTCTTGGAATTTTCCTGATTTTCCTTCACAAAAACTTCAAAGTTTCTCCCCATTTCTTGTTTTTTTGCACAAAAAGATTGTTTTTTTTTCATTTTTTCCTCCGTTTTCGAGGCCTTCTCGGCGCCGTCCCTGCGGCAGCGCTACCTGCAGCTGCACCCCGAGGCCGATGGCGCGGCCGGTGCCGCCGGTGCCGTGGCGCCGCCCTCGGTGACGGCCACAGAGCTCACGGAGGCCGACCACGAGGAGAGCAACGACGCGGCCGACGCGGCCGACGCGGACGTGGCCGATTGGAAGCACGCCCAGAACGAGGAGACGAAACCGAAAACGAAGAACTGAAATGAACTGAACAGAAAACGTAAGAAAACGTATAAGAAAACTCTCCAACAGAGAGAAGCCGACATGGTGCAAACATTCCGTGTCGCTCGCATCACGGAATTCTAGCATGATCAGAGCAGTGTTACAAAAGAATGCAAGGTAAAAAGATGTCAAAAGAATCTTTTGTGCACAAGTGTTTTGTCTTCATTGTCGTCTCCCTTTCTGAGCAGTGAGAGCTATGCAGCTGCAGTTTTTTAAATGTTTTCGTTTTCAGGAGGGAGAAGACTCCAAGCGTTTGGGAGTCTATTTGATTCATAGTTCATAGGATGTTCATGAGAAGATGGCTTCGTATGAGTTTTCTATGAGTGTTACTCACAAAGGAATTGACATCTTCGCATCATTAGGAAGACATCCGTCCACACCTGACGTGTCCTTGAAGGCTTTAGGTGCTGCCTGAAAGCCCTGCAGGACGCACCCTCCCAGTTTTCGGTGCTCACGGACAGTCTGCAGGATGGGATGGGATGGCCAGTTACATCAAGCTTCACAAAATTTCAGATTCTCAGTGTAAGAGGGCTCACTGTTGCTAAGATATCTAAGATCCTTGATGGTTTGCCCAAGACGCTTTGCTATTTTTGCTGAGGAAGATAGCGTCCTTGACAAAAGGATTGACAAAAGGATATCCTTTGCATCCTTTACTGCCTCCAGACTCCAGACTTGACAGTTTCATTCTAAGATCAGCTGCTTGAACCAGGTGCAAGGGCGCACATGGTCCAAGAATCAAAGGTAGCACTGCGATGCATACGCACACACACACACATGGAACACATCCATTGCTTTGAGACGTTTCCGCGCCTTCGAAAGAGCGTGAGATGAAATTGAATTAGTTCTAGGAAATCTCAAAACGGCTGAAAACCGTAAGGCCAACTGTTTCGCATTACTTAGACGAATTACTAATTCAAAAGTGTAAATTCGGAAGTCAGTTCAGTCGACATTCACCCTAAACAGGGTTGCCTCAATTGGCCCTATGGCACCATGTCGGAGTCACCATAGGAATCACACTAGATAAGAATGGATCATTGTAGTGATCCGGCAGGAACTGAATCCTGTAACATGCAAATGAGATGAGAAACAAATTAAGGAAAAAAGGCAGGTACGTGACAAAGGCGTCCCTTCGTCATATCACAGCAAATGATGAAGCGTCTTCGTTGAGTGGTGACTTCATCATTGCTCACCACTCCCCTGCATTATTTAAAAAGGGAGAAGAGGGAAGAAAAAAAGGAAGTTTTACATCTATCCAGATGTTACACACACACATGGAACACATCCATTGCTTTGAGACGTTTCCGCGCCTTCGAAAGAGCGTGAGATGAAATTGAATTAGTTCTAGGAAATCTCAAAACGGCTGAAAACCGTAAGGCCAACTGTTTCGCATTACTTAGACGAATTACTAATTCAAAAGTGTAAATTCGGAAGTCAGTTCAGTCGACATTCACCCTAAACAGGGTTGCCTCAATTGGCCCTATGGCACCATGTCGGAGTCACCATAGGAATCACACTAGATAAGAATGGATCATTGTAGTGATCCGGCAGGAACTGAATCCTGTAGCATGCAAATGAGATGGGAAACAAATTAAGGAAAAAAGGCAGGTACGTGACAAAGGCGTCCCTTCGTCATATCACAGCAAATGATGAAGCGTCTTCGTTGAGTGGTGACTTCATCATTGCTCACCACTCCCCTGCATTATTTAAAAAGGGAGAAGAGGGAAGAAAAAAAAGGAAGTTTTACATCTATCCAGATGTTACACACACTAGACAAGAATGGATCATTATATGATCCGGCAGGAACTGAATCCTGAAACATGCAAACCAGCCTAGATTATTAGATGAATAAAAGAGCCACATGAGGTACTTCTCGCAAACGATGTAGGGCATCCGAAATTGTCAAACGTAGTCATAACCAGATTCCATAGAGTTTTGACCAGCATGTGGAAATCCAAAATAATGTTTCGGCGATTGTTTCCCAAAATAACCCATAGTTCGTCGGCGACAGGGTCTCGGCGAAAATAAGTCAAAAAACATAATACTGTCGGCGATATGGTTTCGGCGAAAATCTGAGGAAGGTTCTGATGCATGCAATACAGATTGTGGCAACCGTGTAGATTCGAAACAACGCAGTGTAACAGCTTGATCAACAGTTGAAACCAAATTTTGCAGGTACACAGAGTTGATCAGACTCTGCTTCCAGCACAAGTGGATAGCTTCGTTGGGTGCAGTCTCCACTGTGCTCTGCACCCCCCTGCAAATTAGTGAAAACCAATCAGAAGTTTTACATCTGTTCAGATGGTACACACACACCTCGCATGTAGCGAGGTCGGTTTTTTGGAAGAACTTCGCTGGCGGAATCGGCAAGACACCAGTGAAAGTGAACCTGTAATAACCTAATGTACAAAAGGGCGGTCACTTCAGTCAGAAGAGGAATTCGGAGCTTGTAGAAGGACTTCCATAGCATCGTGGAAGCTCATGCGTTCAACCATCGCCCAAGTCTGATCGAATTCCCCCGATGCCGTAGCAGCCTTCAAGGTGTCAGATAGATCTTTGGCTAATTCATGGATCCGGGTGGTCAGCCTGGGTTCATCTCCAGGAGATGTCGTCTCAATGGGCACATTGTGAAAAGGATGGTGTCCATGTACAAGGGGAATCTCAAAATGATGTCGCCAATAGTCCGCTGTGCGCAGGGACCACTCCCAGTTTCCGGAGAGACCATAGAAATAGTGTTCAGGGTCACGACATCGGGAATGCCCTAACAAAGGAATTTCTTCAATGAATAGCTCCCTGGTGTTGTTGGAGTGGGTAATGACCTTGAATTGGATCTGGTGAACCACGCGAGAAGAGAACTGAGCACGATGGAAGTAGTTGTGTGTAGAACTTGAGTCTGTCGGAAATGGAACGCCAGGAGGTGCTGGTCCTGAATATGTATCAGCATGGGCCAGTGTACCCGTAGCAGGTGCCGTACTGTCAGTTACCAAAGGTGCCGGAGTAGGGTTGGTCGTAGTGTCGGGAGCTCCTGAGTGACATAGTGCAGAAGTCGAGGCGTCTGGTACTTGAACTGGGTCGGTAGGAGCGAGTCCACGAGTAGAGTTCGCAGGCCAAGACAAGCCCGCCACGGTCGCGTCTCGTTTGTGTTCCATGGGTGAAACTGTCACAAATACGAGAAATAGTGCAACAACGGCTGAAGCATCAAGAATTGCAGAAGAAAGCCAATCCCGAAATTGATAATATTCACAAAAATGAAAAAAGTGAAATCCAGTCCTCAATCAAGTGGGTCAGTTGCGACGGAGAAGCCACAGCTCCAAGTCAAATAAAATAGAAATCGAAAAATCCTTTGTGTTAGTGGGGTGTCAAGGAGGAATTGAAAACCCTGTAGCATGGTCTTTTTTGGCCGGCTAGTGCATCAGGGCAGGATCACACCGGAGCTAATTTTGTAGCATTTCAAGCGTAGTACGAAAGGCTGTCTGGTACCCGGGATGAGGAAAGAGGATTCGCGGGAATTGTACTGCCGAAGTCGCCACTCAGGTCGGTATGCCTCCAAAAGCTGCAAGACCGTCATATCATTGGAAACTTGGAATGTATCACCGTCCAAGTCGCAAAAGCGAAACTCCAGGTTCGAGGGATCAATTTGGATGTCCCATTGGGACCTCAATCTTTTGGAGATACAAAAGCGGAGTTCGGCAATTGGGATGAGGCCGGCTTCAACTGGTTCCATCTGACGTGACCAGGTAAACAAAGCTGCAAGTTCAAAGCCACTGACATGTCTAAAATTGGAGTTCACCAGAGCCATGTAGTGTTCACGGTCAGGTTCGCTTCGGTGAGTCAATGCCTGTAAGGGAGAGAAGTCAACCAAGATAAGGACAGGTCTGTTTGGAGGAGGGTTCACATCACCAGGGAGGCCTCGATGTCCAGCAATCCACCCAACGGTTCGTGTACCAAGCGGTGTCTCAATCGTAGATGTGGCGCGATATGGATTGGGTCGAGAAGAACGAGCCATTGCGTCGAATGTGAAGTATCGAGGATAAAGCGCAAAGCCCAAGCTGCAAAATGGGTTGGAATAGCCACAGGAACAAGCACAAAGTGTTAGAAACAAAAGAGAAACGGTGTACCTAGTAAATGGTCACACAAAGAGACGATGAATCACAGGTCTTTTTTCCGCCGACAAAGAATGTGGTATATTACACACTTGAATCCGACATATCCATCGGGTCAATATCGTTCGCATCCAACGGACCATGTACTTGTTGAGGAGGGACAGCGGGGCGAGTGAGATATACAGTACGGTGTAGTGTTGCCGGTGGGGAAGACGGTGGTGTAGACCGCCAAGGTGGCCAATATAAAGAGGTAGTGGTTCCTTGAGAATGGTGTTGGGCGGAGCGTCCCCAGCATGACTGTAAAATATGGAGGTGGTCCGGTATCGCTTCGTACGGCTGTGAGACATGGACGTTGGAGTGTTCAGGGTGTGGTAAAACGGGAACAGTAGTTGCCGTAGGGGAGGAGGATGATGGTTGAATTGGTACATCATAGTATCTGCGCCAATGGTTAGCTGTAGTGTGCAAGGTTGCCTGGTCGTTGGTGAGGTGCATGTTCTCCAGGAATGTTTCCACTGGTTTCCACGTTTCAAGACCATCAAGTGTCCTTTCCACGATCCAAAGTTCATCTGAACGGTTAGACAAAGGATAGCTCAGCTTCTTGATGAAGACGGAGTGGACAGTGGTAGAGGTCGGAATCTTTCTCGCTGCACGAGGAATATAGGATGCCGAGGTGGGATCATCCGGTGGCAAGTGTGAGGCAAGGCCATGTATGGATGTAGGTGGTAAACCGTGCGAGACCAATCGAGCAGGATCATCCGTGTTGGAGGTCATCATGTACGATCAAAAGAATATGATAGCGGGAAATACTAAACTGAAGCCAAAAGGCCGTGGGGAAGGTCAATGATGAAGGAATAAATAACGAATATCACCCACTGGAAAACGAGAAAAGGATGACACAAGGGAAAATCAGAACCGGGGTGGTGGACATCACAACGAATGTTGGTCTTTTTCCTCATAGACGTGAGCCGTGTCAAGATCCATCAAGACAGCTAATCACTCAGCGGCTTTAGTGTATCGGGTGGCCGTGACGAATGGATGTCCACGGGGAATCACTTGAACATGTACAGCAAAGCCAGTGTCTTGTGCATCTGGATGTGGTGTCAGCAGCAACGGAGAACACTCGCGGGTCGTGAAGGCATCGAGATGTTGATGAGTTTTCCATCTCGGGTAGAACCAATTCAAAACATCCAGAAGAGAATGAGGAAGGTCGTCAAGCATCTGAGCTCCTTGATCGGTGTCAATCATCATGTAGAACTCCGACGCTGGTAGGTGTATGGACCAGCGTTGTAGCAGTGTGTCGGTGACTACGGTTTTGAGGTCTGAAACGAAATGACTGCGAGCATAGTCCGGGTAGATGACCTTGAACGT